ATTCCATCAAGTGGAAATTAAAGAGGATTGTAGAGAGATCACCACCTTTATTACAAGTAAGGGACTTTACCGTTATAAACGTCTCATGTTTGGCATTTCTTGCGCACCCGAACATTTCCAAAAAATCATGGAAAGAATGTTGTTACCATGTGAAGGAGTGGTAAATTTCATCGATGACCTGGTTGTATTTGGTCGTGATGAAGGCGAACACAATTCGAGACTTCGGCACACTTTGCGTATTCTAAAAGAAAACGATGCACTCCTCAACGAGGATAAGTGCATTTTTGGCGCCTTAAATATACAATTTCTTGGACATAATCTTTCTCCTGATGGCATCAGACCTCTCGATAAATATGTCAAGAATATTGGAACTTTCAGAGAACCAACCACTATCGAAAAACTTCAAAGTTTTCTTGGACTTGTTAACTTTGTAGGGAAATGGATTCCAAATGTCGCCACTATAACTGAACCTCTACGGCAACTTCTTAGACAGAAGCTTCATAAGCAAGATAACATCACCAAATTCTGGAAGAAAGAACAAAAACTAGCTTTTGACAAGTTAAAAAATTGCCTTAGCAACATTCGTACCTTAGGCTATAATGATCCAGACGATAAAACACAAGTTATTGCTGACGCAAGCCCGGTAGGGTTGGGTGCGGTTCTAATTCAGTATGATTCAAGTGGACCGCGTATCATAGCTTACGGAAACAAAAGTTTAACCGATGTTGAGAAACGGTACTGCCAGACCGAGAAAGAAGCTCTGGCGTTGGTTTGGGCTGTTGAGCATTTTTACATGTATCTATATGGGAAAAATGAATTTGAACTGATTACAGATCATAAACCCCTGGAAGTTATTTTTGGAGAACGATCAAAACCCTGTCTTCGTATTGAACGCTGGGTATTACGATTGCAAGCCTATAAGTATAAAGTTATTTATAAGCCTGGAAAACATAATATAGCTGACTGTCTCTCACGATTGTGCAAAATCCAAAACTGCAACTCTTTCAATGATGAGTATCACGTCAACCAAATTATAGAGTATACACGGCCAACTGCATTATCATTAGACTGTATAGCTTATGCATCAAAAAATGACAAGGAGCTTCAATTAGTTAGAGAAGGTCTTTTGCGGAACAATTGGGATGCTAGTGTCAAAAAATACCAGTTGTTTGAGCATGAGCTTTGGCTACATGACGATATTTTGTTGAGAGGCAATAAAATTGTAATACCAATAAAGTTAAGACATCAAGTTTTAGGAGCCGCACATGAAGGTCATCCGGGAATAGTAAATATGAAGGGTAGATTACGTACGAAGGTTTGGTGGCCTAAAATAGATAAAGATGCTGAAGATGCAGTAAAAAACTGTAGGGGTTGTATATTAGTATCGGGGCCAAACCCTCCTAACCCCATGAAGAGACGCGAGCTACCATTACAGGCTTGGATTAACACCGCCATCGACTTTTTAGGCCCACTGCCCAGCGGAGACTACCTTTTTGTAATCATTGATTACTTTAGTCGGTACAAAGAAATAAAAATTATGAGATCCATATCAACAAACGATACAATAAAGGTGCTGAAAGAAATTTTTTCGCGAGTAGGGATTCCTAGTAGCATAACAGCTGATAATGGTAGACAATTTATCAGTCACGAATTTAAAACATTTTGCACAAAATTAGGTATTAAAATCTACCACACAATTCCTTATTGGCCTCAACAAAACGGGGAAGTCGAAAGACAAAATCGAGATATAATTAAAAGATTAAAAATCAGTCAGGCTCTAAAGTCTAACTGGAAGGATGATCTTTTAGAATATTTGATGATGTATAACAGTACACCACACGGGTCTACAAGAAAATCTCCTTCGGAATTATTCTACGGTAGACAATTTAGAGATAAGCTGCCATGCTTAATAGATTGGGAAAGTAGGGATATTTACTTAGAAACTAGGGACAAAGATAAAGAAATGAAATAGAAGTTGGTGAAAAAGTTTACGTAAAAAACCTAATCAAAGAAAACAAGTTAACTCCCCAATTCAACCCCACACCACACACTGTGGTAAGTGCCAAAGGCAATGAAATAAATGTTAAAAACGATGCCACAGGTCAAGAATATAAAAGAAATATAGTTCACTTGAAAAAAGCGGAAGGGAAATGGACTTTAGTCGATAAAGGAAAAGAGCAGAAAGAAGAAGATTCACAAAAAGAAGAAAACGATAACCAACGAAGTAAATTTTGAATTAAGTTTATTTACGGATTTTGTAATTAAGGATTGAAATACTTATGATCAAAGTAGTCAATAATATAAAAGAAATATAGTTCACTTGAAAAAAGCGGAAAGGAAATGGACTATAGTCGATAAAGGAAAAGAGCAGAAAGAATTAAATTCACAAAAAGAAGAAAACGATAACCAACAAAGTAAATTTTGAATTAAGTTTATTTACGGATTTTGTAATTAAGGATTGAAATACTTATGATCAAAGTAGTTAAGTTATGTTTATTAAAATTTGAATTAATTGTTTATTTTATAGTTTTGTAATTATAGCTCAGGATTAAGTTTATACTTAAAATGATTGAAATTAAAAGCAATACAAAAAGAAAGAGATGTGGTATTCTGATGTATGTATGTGTATATATGTGTTAAGATAATGTACGAAAGAATGATTACTGAAGGTTACGATTACGGTACAAGCATGTACAGGCAGTACTGGTCGAGAGCGCAGAGGATGCGGACGTCTTGTGACGATTACTGATAGACGAATAAGTATATATTTTTGATAACCGAGAGCTCACAAACACCACAGTACCAATATTGAAGGTTTGATGGATACATTTAAGATCTTATACGACCCAGTACAGTGGCGTATTTTCATAGATTCTTCAAAAAGTAGCCTTAAAGCAGTTCTGCTTCACAATGACGGTTTCTATACTCCGGTCGGTCATTCCGTACACCTCAAGGAAACCTACAAGAACTTGGAGTTGGTTCTTTGCAAATTAAAGTATAAGGACCACGGTTGGAATGTTTGCGGTGATTTAAAAATTTTGGGCATGTTACTCGGACAACAAGCTGGGTTTACTAAATTCCCTTGCTTTTTGTGTCTATGGGATAGTAGAGACCGATCAAATCACTGGACTAAAGTGTTGGCCTCCGAGGGAGCTTAACGTTGGCAAAAAGAACGAATAAAACTTTGGTGCCTCCTCATAAAGTTCTTCTACCACCGCTTCACATAAAGCTGGGATTGATGAAGCAATTTATAAAGTCACTTCCACGAGATGGAAATTACTTCAAATACTTAAACATCAATATTTCCAGGCCTCTCGGAGGCAAAGTTGAAGGAAGGTGTTTTCGTTGGACCAAATATTAGACGGCTTATAGCTGATCCACAATCCATCACAACCATGACTAATCCTCAAAGAGAAGGGTGGATTGCTTTTGAAGAGGTCATAGAGAAATTTTTAGGCAATAACAATGACCCTAACTATAAAAAAATCGTCAAAAGAATGTTAGAAGCATTTCAAGCTTTAGGTTGCCTAATTCGACTACTTTCCAGAAAATTTAGGAGATGTGAGTGAAGAGCAAGATGAACAATTTCACCAAGATATTAAGGAGATGGAAAAAAGATACCAGGGAAGATGGAGCGTCTCAATGATGGCAGATTACTGTTGGACGCTTCAGAGAGATCTTCCAGATGCTTCCTATAAGCGAAAATGTACCAAAATGAGTCTCACTGGGAAAAAAAAATGTGTTTAGTGTTTACTAATGGACGTATTTTAGATAAAAAGATAAGTTTTATTACGCAATTATAAATTAAAAAAAATTTTTTAGTATTTTATCTTTTATTTTAAGATGATAACTTATTTAACATAGATACCTACATTGTCAGAAAACGTGACGTTCTATGACAAAATGAAAGTCATTTTCGGATTCAGCACACCCAAAAACATGAAAATTACTTAAAAAGAACAAAACAGCTTTCAATTTTTTTTGCAGAGGAATTTGTAGGATTAATTTCAGTGCCTAGTGAATTAATTTTTAAATTAATTTATAGCACTGCAGATAACCTCAAATCAATGAGGAAAAATTGTTGTCGCTGTCGTGCCTTTACGGGAGTCCCCCGACCAAACAACTCTTTTTATTCTACGATCGCCACATAATAAAACTTTTGTAGAAAAAAAGAAGCCACACCTGCAGTGAAAGATACAGAATGTTTGTATAAGCGTCATAATGTGAAACGTTTTCTCAAATTCTCTACCATATAGAAAATAATAGTGTAATTTACCCAACTTAAAACGACGTTCTGATGGTAGTTTTTATTTAACATTTTCTTTACATTCCAGTTATAACATACATGCATATATTTATCATATATATATTTTTTAATTTAAATATATTCACAATTCGTGTAATAAGAAACATCAAATACACTAGGTAGACACAGAATGATGTACAATATATATCTCCCATATGCTCCATTGTATGTATGTATTCAAAGCCCAGTCTCATTCAACGGCTAATTAAATAATAATAACAAAAGCATTACTAACTAAAAAGAAGTGATATATCAATTGGGTATCACAATGTTTTAACTGATCAGTACAGTTGCTTGTATCGTATGTATTAAAAAAAATAAACAATGCTAAAATACAATATCATCCCAAAAATACAAAATTTCACATCAAATAATCTAACATAAACAAGAAGAAAAAACTATCTTTTATCAAATTTTATAATTTTTTAATATATGCATGTCTAAAAATGAAGCAATTTACGAGAGTATTTTTTTATACTTTTATTCAATTCATAAATAAAGCAGTTGTAAATAATTTTCATTGTAACTATAAAGGATAGAATTTTAAGAAATAGATACAGAATTAGCATTATTATGCTTTATACAGCAAGCAATATAAAGACAACAAAACTAAAATTTCCTAATTTACTGAAACAATTTACAATAAAATTAACATATACATAAAAATCCCATTATTCAATATGTCACCCCAATTTTAATAAACTAACATGTCGGGTATCTCACATTGTCCAACTGTAACTCGGTGCATAGCCATTTCAGTGATACCGTGATAATGAACGAAAGCACCCCCCAAAACAAACATATGGAAAATCTGGTGTGAGTGGAACCAAATGTCAAATTTGCCTGGAAACCAGCGCTCAGGCACGCGAAGCGCGTACATAAGTGCACCCATAATGTATAACAAACCCATTAGACAGAGCCAACCCAACGACTTTTGACTCATGTAATTGCTGAACCAGCCTTCGACTACTCCATAATGAATTGCTGGTACAATTCCTGACAAGCCGAACGTCATAAAAACTGCTGCTCTGAAAGGTCGCCACGCTGGCTCCGAGAACTTATCCCACAAGCTAACCATTATGCTCGTTATGCCGAGTACACAAACAACTGATAAATAAACGACCTTTGGACGGAAATGACAATAGAAGCCATAATAAAGCCATGGAACAAACGAACCTAAAACAATAAACAAAATCAATATCGCGAATACTGCAAAGAATGAGGATGATAATATTCTAGCAAATGTTAAACATGGATGATTTTGGGAGAATTTATGAAAAGATATACTAGCTTGCTTTGTATGCTTTATGTAGTGTTCTATCGAAATAAAACAACAGATAATTCCATTATTGAGTAAATTCTCGTTATGTTGTAAGCTAACTTCAAATTCATTATTTAAAATGTTCTCTTTTAAGTGCCGTTCCACATGCAGCGTATGATTAGGACGCACACGTCAAGACATACAATTTAAAGAAGAATCTGCTTAAATATGTGATTTTATATGTAGTACGTAGGATCAGTCCGTTAAACCCGTGTTTTCCAGCGCGAATCATTGTTTATAGTGAGTAACTTCACATGAGAAGTAATGATCAGTCTCTTCAGACCCTGTTGTAAATCATTACTATACAAGGTGTTTCATTTATAATAATAAGAAAAAACAGTTTCCTAGCAATACGAGGGTGGATTGATAAGTTTCCGGCCTGACCAAGAAAAACAAGGTTTTTAAAAATTTTTTTTTTTTATTTCTCAACATAATCTCCTCCAAGGCTGATACATTTCTCATAGCGGTGTTCCAGTCTATTAATGCCATCTCTATAGACTGATTCGTCAAGCTCCTCAAAATAACCATTTACAGCTTCGATTACTTCTTCATTGTCCGCAAATCTCT